AGAAAAAAAATGCTTTCTGGATTTAGAATGTCACCATTGTCAATGTCCATGGAAGTTTAGAAAGTTGATCTTCCAATCAAATTTGCTTTATCAGTGCTCCAAATCATTGCTGATTCAGCGAAACCAAGCAAATAGATTAGATCATTAAGGGTCATGTCATAGTTTGTTTCATAGTAATCCTAAAGGAAACTCACTATGTGACTGAGAAAGTGATTGAACAACCAACTTTCTCAAGACTTTGACACCCAACTCTCCCAGCTTGTCAATATGTGACTTCATCTCTAAGATGTGATGACACATAGACCTTGCTTGCCAATAGAGCATGAGTGACCTTGAACTATTCAAGAACTTGTGGGTTAGGGAGAATGATTGGAGGAGGTAGATGAAGTGAAGTATGATTTCCAGGACATCATCTTCATTAGGAAAGCTTGTTCCAAGGGATTTGGGATAATCATAGATGTCTGAACCAGATATCTAATATGGGAGATATTGAAGTCAGTTGATTTAAAGTCCTTAATATAACACCCAATATGAAATATTAAGACTAGGACCCAATGCAATATTTTATAACTTGGAAGAGGAATGCCGTAATCCAAGCTATAAAATATTTGAAGGTTGGTGAATGACGATTCACCAATTTCCACCATGAAAAACGAAATAATTTATTAGGTTTTAATTGGATTTGAAACTCCTAGATCTTTTGATATTCATTGAACTTTTCAATGGCATGTTTCAATCTCGATTGTGCCCTCTCAAGTTTTGAGACTGGGATGCCGAGGATCACAAAACAAGGTGTGAATAACCATGCAAATATACTTGGTACCCTTAATATTTATCACTCAATCGATGTGATTGTTAACCACATGTGCTCCATAGATACTATGATAAACATTAAGTTACCCTTTGCCTACCTTGTTAAATCAAGTTTGTGTGCCGGTTAACCACACGTGCTCCACTAATTGACTTAAGCAAAGTGCAAAGTGTAATTTCATGGGTTAGCACCAAATTCACATTTTCCTAAGTAACTAAGATTGGAAATTCATAAGTGTTTAGTTACTTAGTATTTATCATTAATACTTTTAATGAATATATAATTATAGTCCTTGTCCTACCCGTTTGGCTAACGACCCTCCACCAGTCAAGGAAGTGGTGGGTGAGAGTGGACACCCATTAAATTGCTATTTTATAGGCAGTAACCTTATACCCCTTTATAGACTGGTTTCGTAAATGAGGCCTACTAACGGTAAGACTGACTTTGTTCTTATACATACATACATACATATATATATATATATATATATATATATATATATATATATATATATATATATATATATATATATATATATTCATGAGGGGAAACTTTACAAGTTCCAAAACTTGAGGGCAAGTTTTGAACTATTAAAAACCTTTTCAATTCCCTAACTTATGAGCTTAAAGTAGTTTTAATGAAATAACTCTTCAAGTTCCATAACTTGAGGATAAGTTATGGAAGACTTTAAAATCATTTAAGAAAATAAGACTCTTCATTTTCATAACCTATGAGTTTAAAGTAGTTTAATGAAAAACTCTTCAAGTTCCATAACTTGAGGACAAGTTATGGAAGACTTTAAAATCATTTAAGAAAATAAGACTCTTGATTTTCATAACTTATGGAAATCTTATGAGTTTTTAAGAATCATAAATGTGACTTTTCATATAACTTGAGGACAAGTTACAAAAACACATTTTACGAATAACTTTTAGATCAATTTGGATTGAAAACACATTATCACATAATTTCAATTAATCTAGGCAAATTCATAAGAACAAGATAATTCAAATCAAACATTTTCATATAATTAGCCTAATCCTTAAATTAATACAAATCATGAATCTATTGACAATTATCTTTGGAATTGAATTAGCATGAATATTACCACATCAAAAACAGGTTTATAAGTTCAAAAACAGCTTAGGGTAATGTTCCTAGTCCAATTCCAACAAAAAAAAAACAAAAATATGTTGTCAGGGGGTCCAACTCGTCGAGTGCATGAACCAAATCGATGAGTTGGATGAATTTCTTCATGGACTCGGCGAGTCCATCAGTGGACTCGGCGAGTCCAGTTCCTAGACAGCTAGAAAATTGATTTTTTTTCCAGCTTTTTCAGCAATTTGCATCAAGTATAATCGAAAACAAGCCTAGGCTCTGATACCATTGAAGGGTTTTGAGCATTCTAACACTCCTAAGGTGTACATGCAACCCTAAATACCTTGGATCTATGTTTTCTCTATTATACATGCAAATATCAATTTTCCAAGGTATTATCCTAACTAACATATTATGAAGTACAAGTAATATAAAATATAGTAAAATAACATACCTCTTTGTTGTAGCTTGATTCCATGGAGCTTAAGTGCCTAGTGCCTCAAATGTGACACCTCAAATGGTTCACACAACATCAAGAACACTTGGAATAACATGAGAATAAGGATACTTGTACAAAATTCAGTTTTTCCCTCTTGTATACATACACTAGTCACACTAGTTCCACTAGTCATTTCATGAACCATAGACCTCTTTATATAGTGTGGAGGATTAAGGTTACATTCATGTAAACCCTAATGCCCATGACCTTTCATTTCCATATGATCCATGGTTTAAACACTCCATGGACTATCCATAAAAGCTTAGCCCAACCTAAATGAACTTGGCCCACAACATATATATATATATATATATATATATATATATATATATATATATATATATATATATATATATAAGAGTCCGTATTTAATTAGTTCCTTTTGATCTCTAAATTAATTATAAATTAATTCATGATCAATACTAATTAAATAATATGATTTCATATTAATATATTAGAACTTATAATATATTAATATAAATCACTAGTATCCTTTTTCTCATTTTGTCTATCCAATTGCTCCAATGCCATGCAACCCAATTGGACCATGCCAAGTCGGGTCAAGTACATACCAATTATAACTATGGACTTAGACACTAATCCAACACTTGCAATCGATGGTCTCGGAGCCCTCTACTACCCAGACCAATCCATAGGTAAATTTTTCCATACCCACCTTTGTACCTTTAAATGAAGATTTCTTTCAAGGCCTTATGCCTCCATCTTCTCCAAATCATGCCTCCACTTAAATGAAAACTCCAATCACAATTGCTCCATGTCCCAATGTATCAGTTGGTGTTTTGCAACCCCAAATCTCCATTACTCAATCAACCTCATTCTATATCGATTCTACAACAACAATCACAACCACCACTAGTTCATCGCCAGTACTTGTCAACGTATCTGATACAGGGATAGGTGCTTTTGGTGTTAATTTTTGTCTTGCCTTCACTTCCATCTCACCATTATGCACTGATGATTCAAACAACATCTTTAGAATAAATCATGGTGACTTTCAAGATTTCCATTACGGTCCATCCAATGATCAAGAAGAAATCGATGATGATGCACTAGTTACGAAAGGGAAATTCAAGGCTCTCAATGAGAAGTTGGATACTCTTCACGAGTCTTCCAAAACTTCGTCAAGCACTGAATACTCCTATGAGTCTGTCAAAGATTTAATCAAGACCATAATAAAGGAGCATGCCAAAAGTCTCGATGCCTCCTCTAAAGTTGTGGAAGATTCTGAGAAGGTTATCCGTGAGATGACCGAAAAAGTTGAAAAACTAATGAATGAGGTAACTGAATTTATGGTGGACTTTCGTCATTCATTAGAAAAAAATACGGAGGCTGCGAATAAGGTCATTATGAGTCTTGGCTCGAAAAATCTACTCTTTTGAAGGTTCGCACTGAAATTCAGGCTAATAATGCTAAGCTACGAGGATCTGTTTCTTCCAGGACAGATAAGCTTCATGAGGAGCTTGCTATGGAGAATAAGATTATGGATAAACTTGGTGTGAAAACAAAGAAAGTAAAGGTTCTTACTATACAACTTGCTAATGTCACCCAACAAGTTGATTCTTTGAAATCTAAAAAATGTTGTAATTTGAAGCTGTGTCGCAGATGCAAATCTCTTTTTGCAAAATCAGATGGAGACTTGCGATTTGTTGCTCATAATCTCAGTTCACCAACATATCGCAGGAAAACTCAAGCCCGTATTCTTAATGTTGAATCGAGTTGAGGGTGTCTCGGAAGCTGGCACCTTTCTAAGACAAGGGGGAGAAGCTAAGAATCCCTCTGATGATCAACCCATGCAAACGATTGGTGAAACTGGTGAATTCGAACATAAACCACCTCTGTAGTCAAAAGATCCAAAGGATAATGAAGCTTCGTAATCAAAAGGCAAAGGAAAGATGACTGAAGAAGAAGAAGAAGAAGAAGAAGAAGAAGATCTATCCGAAGGGGCTAAGCTTAAACGGAAGAAACGTGATCAAGAGATTGATGAAAACCTTCGCATTGCAAAAGAAGTTGAAGCTAAGGAAAAGAAAGCTTTTGAAGCTCAAGTCACTTTGAAAACGTGGAAGTTTATTTTCCCTTCCTGGTCCATAGAGCGAATCATGAATGAAGTTATTGAAAATCTAAATACTTAAGTTGGAGCTAGTTATTTTGTATGATGTGGAAAACACTCTGGATTCGTAGCTTGACCTACCAATAACTCCGAAGGCATTCATTTTTTGTAGTTTTGAAAAGACCGCTAAATTTTTGTTTTCAGACAATTATGTTAATCAAATTCTTTTCTCGTTTTACCTCAAGCACGGGAAGCCTCAATATCAAACCTGGAGTTCGAATAAAATTACAAATGTCAAAGTCATCGGGCCAATTAAAATGCAAAGCTTTATTAATGATAAATTCAAAGTTGTTTGTGGAGCAAAAAGTTCAGTTTTTGAATTCTCACTCGCATACTTGCCATGCCTAAACCCATATGACTGGATTTCATTGTTCCATTTCTTGTTAAAGGATGAACAAAAATTTGAACCTATTGTGGCGCATCTAAAGAGGATGTTGATCTCATACATCTAAGATGTTGGTAAGATGGATGTGGAGATTGCAGCAGTACTGCTAAGGAAACCCTCAGTGGAACCAAAAGAAACTACGAATGATGTCATAAAGATGAAGTTCGGAAGAATTCAAAAAGACAATTGGACCGTAGCTTTTCAGCAAAGTGATAGAGAGGGTAAAAAGGTTCAGAAATGCTTATTTTCTTTACCCAACAAGCATCTATATTCTACTTCTTGTCTCAACTACGTTCTTGGTATCACTAAACAATGCAAGGCAAACGATGCTACAGATAAGAAATGCTTAGCAAACATGATTAAGTGGTATATCATAGTTCGCAATACCTTAATCGGATCAATGCCAAAACGTTTCAAGGTTTAGAAGCGCATTCAACAATAAATAATCTTCCTTCCTTATTGACACAAAGAGGGAGATTGTTAGGATACTTAATGTGTTGTGTCAACTTTTTTATGCATGTATTTAGTCTTTATTATTAATGGATTAGGCCTGTCAATCTGTCATTATGGTGCCGGGGTTAGACTATAAATATATTATGCATGTATCATTTTATGGTTAATGTTTTTGATTTCCCTATGTATCTTTACAGAGAAGTTCTAATCGAACTCTTTTAAGATATTGATAATAAAGCATTCGACACCTTTTCAATCGTATTTAATCTTCGTCCTTATTTTTTGATTCATATAAACTTTTTTGAATCTATTGATCATTATTTTTTGTTTCTACAACTAGACAAGGGTCTTATTTGTCTTAGCAGTTCTCCGTGGGGAGCATTGATTCTATTTGTTAAAAAGAATGACGGTTCACACAAAATGTGCATTGATTACCGGGAGTTGAATAAGCTAACGGTGAAGAACCGTTACCCACTTCTGAGGATTGATGATTGGTTTGACCAACTTCAGGGTGCGTCTTTTTTCTCCAAGATTGATTTGCGATTGGGGTACCATCAGATGGGGGTCAGCGAGGATGATGTGCATAAGTTATCCTTTAGGACTCGTTATGGTCATTAAGAGTTCGTGTTGATGCTATTTGGGCTCACCAATGCACCACCAACGTTCATGGATCTCATGAACCTAGTTTGTAGTCGATGTTGGACCGATCTATGGTTGTTTTTATTGATGATATTTTGGTCTACTCCAAGACCATGGAACAGAATGAGGAACATTTGTGAGAAGTGTTGGAGACCCTAATCAGTGAGAGTGTTTATGCCAAATTCACAAAGTGTGAGTTCTAGTTGCATGAGGTGCAGTTTATGGGGCATATCGTTAACCAGAAGAGTATCTTGGTCAACCCGGCAAAGATCGAGGCTATGATGTGATGGGAGGTTTTGAGGACCACATCTGAGATTAGGAGTTTCTTAGGTCTCGCGGGGTATTATTGGAGATTTATCCATAATTTCTCCAAGATTACAGTACCTTTGACCCATTTGAAAAAGAAGAATATGACTTTTCATTGGGGGCCTGATTAGCAGTTGGCTTTTGAGACTCTGAGACAGAAGATGTGCGGGGCCCCGATTCTCTCTCTTCCTGAGGGTTTGGATGATTTCATGGTTTATTGTGACACATCTATTTTGGGTTTGGGATCGGTACTAATGCAGATCACGTGATTGCTTACGCTTCGATCAGTTAAAGCCTCATGAGGCGAACTACCCTACGCATGATTTGGAGTTGGGTGTCATGGTTTTCCCCTCAACATTTGGAGACACTAATTTTATAGCGTTCAGTGTACTATCTACATAGACTATAAGAGTTCGAGGTATTTGATGGACCAGCCGAATATGAATATACGACAACAGAGATGGTTAGATGTGGTAAAGTATTATGATTGCGAGATCATGTACCACCCTAGTAACACCAATTTGTGGTTGATGCCTTGAGCCGCAAATCTGTGAGTTCTTCTATCATGGATATATGCTTCAGCATGGTTGTCACTTTGCCTTTGTTGGATTTGGTCAAGAAGGCTCAGAGACAGTCAATGGTTATTGACCTAGTGTGTTAGAGTTTGGGTTCCAACATCGGGAGGGATGAGACAAACGGTACTAGAGGAGGCACATAAGTCAAAATTTTCTATCCACCCAGGGTCCATGAAGATGTAGATGGATCTAAGGTTGAGTTATTGGTAGCACTGTATGAAGAGGGAGCCCTTACCCATTCTTTTTTTCCCCAATCTCTCACTCGCTCATCCCTCTCTCATGAAAGATTGTCTCTCCTCTCCCGGCGGCTTTTAGTCATGTCTCTAGCCAGTTGCTAAGACGATTCCCACTCAAGCTATGTGGAAATGGGAAGAGATTGCCATGGATTTCATCACAAACTTTCCAAGGATGATACATGGTGTTCACTGTATCTGGGTGTGACATCCCCAAAATCACGGCCAGAAAAGACCGATTTTGTTTATGCTTTATAAAAATCAGAGTACTTCATTTTATAAAAAGGCTGCGGAATTTGTTCCCAGAAAAACACGATAAATACGTTATTAAAATTTTTTCGAAGAAACATATTTTTATTCATCTTAAAACGTTTGGGATGTCATCATTAATACAGAAACATAAGCATAAACAGAACTTACAATTATTTACACTAGTGATCTACATCTCTTTAAATCTCTCAGTGTAATGTCACTTCATATCGCCACCTGTGATGTAAATAAACTGAGTGGGTCAGGTTGGGAAACCTGGTGAGTACATAGGGTTTTCAACCCACAATAATATAGTTATTATGTTTAAACAATCAAACAATCAACCCAATTACCCATCCCCATTATCTTCTTTAGTCTTCCCTAAAGATATTATCTCAAGGGTCATCTCCTATATCATATTTACTTCTCATCTCCTTACATCGTATTTCCTTATATGATTGTTCCTACGAACTTTACCTAAGGATCATCGCCTACATTGCATAGACAATACTAATCCGGGGATTACTCCCTCATTATGTGTCTAGCAAGAGTTAGGGTATCATCGCATGATTACACAGCCACAACATCGCTTGGACTTGTAAATCATGATAAGGGTTAGTCTATCATCACATGAATACGTAGCCACAACATCGCCTGGACTCGTAATTCATAATAAGGGTTAGACTATCATCGCATGAATACGTAGTTACAACATCGCCTGAACTCGTAATTCATCACCTACAGGTTACTAGCCCGCTGGTGTTTCCACGGGGTTGTCTATGATAGTCCGTGGTTTCCATCTATAGTCTGGTAGATGACTACATCTCCAAATTGTCAGACAAAGTTGTAGTATCCTACATCACCGATTCATAATCACCTATCTATCATCATCACCTTCCTATCATCACCTATCTATCATCATCACCTACCAACTATTTCATCTACCCATGTTTTATCCCATCATATTTGTAGATATAAAATAACTAAACAGTTTAAATCATTTAAAACATGTATAAATCATTCATCCAGCGTAGACAACAAGTATTCAAACAATATGCACACATAGCACGTAATTTATATTAAAATACTTCATATCTATGTGTAAGATGAAAGGGACTATGCACTCACCTGAGTAGGTGGTGACTCAGCACTCGGACAGCGCTTCGATACTCTCAAAACGATATTCCTTCGATAAAACCTAGTACCAATACCACTAGGGTTTAGTCTAACGATAACCGTGACAAATTAATTGTCTGAGTATTATTATTATTATATAAGTGTTAATAACACTCAATATAACTCATAATAATAGCCCAAATAATTATTTTAAGGACCTAATAACATTCATATAATTATTTGAAAGCTATATTAAAAATTGCGTAAGCGTAGCACACTTACAGCGAATTTTATCGAAAATCGGAACTTAATTGGAGCAGTGTTTCGAAACCGAAAAACTCCTTTTTCTCGGGACTCCGGGAGCCTCGGGGCTTCCCTAGGGTGCTAAGGGTTTTACCTAGGGCTTAGGAGTGGTTTGGGACCTTAGAGAGAGAAAGTATTTAGAGAGAGAAGTGAAAAATGAGCAAGAAAGTCGGTAGCCTTCGCTGGCTTTTATAGGCCGAAGTTCGGACCTTACGCGGGGCGTAACTTCGGATAAGGGTGCCAGATGGCAAGACCTCGGTGGTGCGTCGTGGCTTCTTCTGGACCGAGAATGGCTAAGCGAACGCGGCGCGTACGAGACCGAACGTTGGGCGTAGCGAGGGGCAACGCATCACTCATCCGAGGCGACTTCAGCGATCATCATCGGACGGCTGGGAAAGCGCCACGTCAGCGACTTCGTATCAGATCTCGCAAAATCGAGTACAATCTTTAAAAATTTGTAACTTTCGCATACGATCTCCGTTTTCGACGTTCTTTATATTCATGCGAAGGTGGGAACGTACTCTACAACTTTCGTTTAGACTTCGTCGGCTAATTTTGGCTCGATTTTAAATTTTATATTATTAACGGGCCGGGACACGATTGGTCCGTTAAATCCTTATAACTTCTTCATCCGACATCCGTTTTCGCCCATATTTTTCTCATTATGCTACTTTTAATGAGATCTTCGATTCTCGTTTAGGTCGTGTCGGCTAAAAACCGCTCGATCTAATATTCGAATTTCGGGGTGTACACTACTAACTCGAAATTTCGAAAAATCATAACTCCTTCATACGAAGTCAGATTTGGGCATTCTTTTTATCGATGTTCTTAGTTTAACATATTCTACGACTTTTGTTTAGATTGCTAAGGCTAAATCTCGCTCTATCGAAAGTTCACTATTTACGCTTCCCGGTATCGTGCTGGTTCCGTCGCGAAACTTCAACGGGTCATAACTTCTTCGTTATAACTCGGATTTCGGCATTCTTTATATGTATGGAAACCTTGTGACATATACTACAACTTGGTTAAGATTATTTATTCTAAATAATCTTTTGTCGAAAAGTTGTTTTTGACTCCTATTGCCTTTAATTTGACTAGCTCAAATTTGCGGACGTTACAATTATCTCCCCCTTAGGATGATTACGTCCCGGAATCATCAACGAAACAGGGTCGTATAATGACTCCATACATCATCTCTTCATCCTAGGTAATAATTATAACTTCTACATTCCTTCAATTCTATCTCTGAAACTCATTGATTGTAAGAGTACTCGATCGTGCACCTGCTCTCTACCTCAGGGTAGACTCCAAATTATGACCTTCAAGTCACAATCTCGATCCTTGTTGGATATAGACTTGAGATAAGTTCTTTTATTACTACTATAGATCGATATGTTATATTCTAATGACCTATCATCGTATGCTGCAACACTTAGACTTAGGTCTCTTAAAATAGACTATGCCGTCCTTCATGTTCTAATGTGATATAATCACACTTTAACATTAGGCATTTCTAGCTACCAAATTCTTTAACAACGAGTGCGATACTT